CCACACTAAAAGATTGTCCAGATAGCTATTTGTCATATATTCTAAGGCCGCTTAGAGGTTGAAGCAAAAGACGCGTTCGTGCCGTCAGCGTACATGACAAGCCCAGGGGATCTCCAAATATTTGTGGTATCATTCACATAGAGAAGAAATAACAGTGGGCCCAAAATAGACTCTTGCGGAACACCGCACTTTATTTTGAGTGCATTCGAAGAATCGTTGTTAATGTAAACATACTGCAAGCGATTTTGGTGGTATTTTTATACTAAAGTCAACGCAACCCCACGTTTGAAGCTTAATTAGTAATATGTCATGTTAGACCGTATCGAATGCCTTTCTAAAATTTACGAGGAAGTCTGAGGAGCATAATATATCTTCAATGTTGTTTATAATTTTATCCTTTACTTCTATAAGTGCCTGCAGATATATATATATATATATGCCTGCGAAGGGGCACTTTGGAATAGCGTGTCTGCCAGACTTCCTTATTCTTTTATTATTAGGGTGACCACCCGTCCCGCGACTCGCGGGACTGTCCCACATTGAAGGCTCGTGTCCCGCGTCCCGCAAGAAATATCAAAATCTTCAAAATGTCCCGCATTTCACACTGTCGTAAAACTCACTACGCAGCTTATGGCGCTGCCAAACAATGGGGCACAGAAAAGTGCGGAGATCGCTGGTGAACGTTTGAATCGCGATGGTACACCATTTTCTATTCAAGCATTGTGGGAAGTTACCGTCGTTCTTGCAGGAGTTCTGACGGGCATGCGCCGTTGTGCCTCCCTTGGTGGCAAAATATTGCAAGAGAAAATTGCTTACCAAAAGTTGAAAATAAATGTTTTTATTATTTTCAAATCATGCTGCGCCAATGCCAAAAAATTGCCTGTAAATATTTTTTTTTTTTTTTGTGAAGACGATTACACAAGGCAAGAAGACTGCAACTCCCAACGGTTAAAAACAACAACGTAAGATTCGAAATTTGTGTAGGAGCATGTTGGTAAAAATACGAGTCGGAAGCAAACAAGAAGCCGTAAAAGATTTACTGCTTCTTCTATCATTTTGATGCATTGAGTTCTGTTGCAGTCGGTTTTATGTTTTGAGCTCCGACAATATCACTTGGAGTGAAAATTATTCGAGCATAATTGCCGCAGTAAAAATTGCAGCTGTATCTATGATATGCTTTCGGACAAGACATGATATCAAATGTATTCGGAGAGCCACATTTCGTGGCGTGTGTTGATAAATTTCCTCGAATGGTTATTTTTTCATTATGTTTTTTAACCAGAGACTGGGGCAGAAGGCGGAAAAACTATTTTCCTCCTCCTGCCCCAGTCTCGGGTTAAAAGGCAGCATGGTAAACTTTCACCAGCTAGACTGCGCACTAAGTTTATTTTGCATTTACCACAGTCGAAATATCTTATCTCTTAC